TCTAAGTACTAATCCCTCTGATCTGGAACTGGCCAAGCGGTCACTTCCTGACTACAACCCTGGGCAAGGTCAAGGTCAAGGTCAAGGTCAAGGTCAAAGTCAAAGTCAAGGTCAAGGTCAAGGTCATAGTCCAGCAGCAAAGGTTAGAAGAGAAGAATCTGGGAAGAATGCGTCCTCCTCTTCACAAGCTGCAAGTACAACAGAAGAGGGGGTCAAAGGGGGAATTTTGGGAGGTGGAGATCCTCCCCGTGGCAAAGAACACGAGGACACTCACTATCCAGCCACACCCAAGCCCCCGTCGAACAGAAATGTTGAAGGCAAGGAAGGGCATGTCAAAGAGAACGCAAAACCACAGACATCAAAAGAGCATCATCAAGACAAACCGATGACGGGAGGCGAACGAGCCGAGGGTGGGAAGGACGTCTCCTCTTCACAATCTTCGAGTGCCAGAGGACCGGGACATCAAGGAGTGTCGGCCGGGGGATCAGCCACGCACGGCCAGGGAGAGGGGAAACCTGCTCCTAACAATCTACATGCCGATGTGGCTAAATCCAATCCCCCATCAACAACACATGGAGATGGCAAAGAACAGAATATCGAAGCGGCGAACGTTCAAGAACATACTTTGGAAGCGGCGAATGTTCGACTACATACTTCGGAAGCGGTGAATGTTCGACTACATACTTCGGAAGCTGCGATGAATGTTCACCTACATACTTCGGCAACGAACCATCCCGGCAACTTGATGGTGGAAGATGGAAGTGCGGGTGCGAGCATTTCAAATCCCACCATCTCTAGTGTCCCTTCAGTCAATGATCGTGGTGGGATCTTGTCGCCTGGAATTTGCAGCTGCGGGAAGCAGCACGAGGGAGGCGGTGTCTGTTCAAATGAACCAGAGCCTGGTGGTGGTGATGATAAACCAATGGCAGAGCAAGCATCGAGAACGGACGGGGACAAGAAGCATCTACAGGAGTCCACCAAGGAGACCGGTCAAGGGCAACATTACGAAGACGGCATTGCACAGGATAAGAGAGCTGACTCTGGTAATCAATCCTCCTCCCTCTCCCAAAGTGTAGGCATCCATGGGCACCAAGAAAGAACCTCCTCTGACACATGTTCACTCTCCGGAGATGAACACAAAGAGTGTGGTACTGAGGGTACCGCCACGAATCCTGCCAATCCAACCATGGCCAAGCAACACCCATCAGGTACAAATGGACATGGCGATCCAGCAGGCATGGACGGACTTGGGCACAAACAAATGCCTAGCAGGGAGCCGGAGGCTGGTCATGCTGGTACTTCGGTAGAGAACCATCAAGACAAACGAGAAGGTTCGGATCCGAAAGCGGAAGGTTCCACTAAGAAAGATGAAGCTTTGGATCCCCAAAGTCATTCCTCTTCCGAAGCTGGAAGAGGGGAACTCCAAGGCGGATGACAACATCCGGGGAAAGTTGTGGCTATGGAGAGAAACATGTAGAATACTGTACTTCCGGTGATCGTGGTAATCTATAGCAGCAGCCATGGCTAAATGACCATGATCATGGACAGAAGGTGAGACCGTTTATGTCATCATGCACGGCGGAGAGGCCAAAACCAGTCATAATGTCTGCTTTCAACCAGGCCTTAATCTGATTCCTCATCACAGGATATGTGTCTAGCTTTTCCAAGAGGCACGAAGTGTTGATTCGATCAAAGCATTTCG